AGTACCATTGCCTTCATTCCTCCGGGACTGGCCTCCTCTTCGTTCCCCGAGTCCTCCGCTCCACCCTCGGCAGCCGTGCCTTCAGCCACTATGCCCTGAAGCTTTAGAACTGCCTTCCTCACTCCCTTCGGAGTTCACCAATTCACCAATGATATCCTGACCATCTGTGACCAGGGCTCCCTCTGTCTCCTCGTCCTCCTCGACCTATCGGCAGCATTCGATACGGTCGACCACGCTATCCTACTCCACCGCTTGTCCTCCCACCTCAACCTTCAAGGCACTGTCCTTGAATGGTTTAGCTCTTACCTTTCCCACCGTCTTCACTTCGTCTCAACGAATGGCTTCTCCTCCACCCCCCGTACTGTCTCATGTGGTGTCCCTCAGGGCTCTGTCCTCGGTCCCCTCCTCTTCACCCTCTATATGCTCCCCCTTGGTGACATCATCCGCAAACATGGGGTTAACTTCCACATGTATGCGGATGACACCCAACTCTACCTTTCCTCCTCTACTCTCAACTCCACGACCACCGATGTCCTGACAGCTGCCTGTCCGACATCGAGTCCTGGACGAGAGACAACTTTCTTCAGCTCAACGTGCGAAAAACCGAGGCCCTCCTGATTGGCTCACGTCAGCGCCTCCGCACCTCAGGCGCTGACACCATCAGCATCCAAGGCTGCACTCTCCACCTCTCAAAGCCAGTCAGGAACCTCGGCGTTTTGTTCGACCCTGAGCTGTCCTTTCTCCCTCACATCCGCACCACAACTGGCACCGCCTTCCATCACCTCCGGAATATCGCCAGACTACGGCACTACCTCACCCCTCACGCTGCTGAAACCCTGGTTCACGCCTTTGTCACCTCAAGGCTGGACTATGGGAACTCTCTCCTCGCCGGCCTTCCCGCCACCTCCCTCCACAAGCTGCAGGTCATTCAGAACTCTGCAGCTCGTGTACTGTCCCGCACCAGGCTTCGGGACCACATCACTCCCACCCTCGCTCGCCTCCACTGGCTCCCCATCCCCCAGAGGATTGATTTCAAGATCCTCATCCTCACCTACAAGGCCATTCACGGCCTTGCTCCCTCCTACCTCTCCAACCTACTATCCCCCTACCTACCTGCCCGTACCCTCCGTTCCTCTGGCTCCGGTCTGCTCCACGTCCCCCGCCCCAACCGCCCTACCATCGGTGGTCGGGCCTTCAGCCTCTCAGCCCCCAGGCTCTGGAACTCCATCCCCCAGTGCCTTCGCCTTGCTTCCTCCCTTTCCTCCTTCAAGGCCGGTCTCAAAACCTTTCTCTTTGACCGTGCCTTCAGCTCCCCTCTCGACTCTCTTCCTCCTCCTCGCTCCCTCCCTTCCCTCCCCTCACCCTGACCATTTCCCCCCTCCTCTCTCCCTCCCTTCCCTCCCCTCACCCTGACCATTTCCCCCCTGCTCGGGTCATGACCCAACTGTGCAGCGCCTTGGGACGTCCTCCTGACGTGAAAGGCGCTCTATAAATGGAATCTTGTTGTTGTTGTTGTGTTGTTCGCCTTGTTCCCTCTCTTCCTATTTTCAGGTCTCTGCTGAAGACCTTTCTGTTCGACTGCGCCTTTGGACACCTTCCTCCCCCTCCCCCTGGCTCGCTCCCGGGATCCGTTACTGTAAAGCGCTCTGAGATGCCGTCCGGCGTGGAGGGCGCTATATAAATCCAAGTTGTTGTTGTTGTATCCTGTGAAACGCTTTGAGAGTCTCAACGACGTAAGGCGCTTTATCAAATGCAAGGATTATTGTTATGATACCGAGTTAGTTTGCATTGTTGACTTCAAATGCAAATGATCATATTGGGATGAATGAATAACAGTGTAAAATAAAATAGGCCTTCTCTCAGCTCAGATTCTTTCAGATAGCACATATCTACAAAACACGTGGAAATATGTTTTTAAAAAATTAATATCTGAAAAAAACAGAATGCTGGACATTCACAGGACATATGAAATATGGGTTAACATACAGGTGAGTTCTTTGTCTATTATTTCGAAGCATTTAAGGTGAAAGAAGCTTTTAAATAACTACTGAAATGTTAACATATTTTCTCCAAAGGATGTACTGCATTAGGGGGTATTTACATTTCTTTTATGTATATATATATAACAAACCCTTAATATACACAACTCAAGAGATTCTAGTACCAAACTTTAAGCCTCTGCCCACAACAAACTAATGATATCAGTTTGAACCTGACAAAACATTGGCCAGATTTGCTGGCCGGTAAAGAATATTCCTAAAAATTGAAATATTGATACTTTCTTCATAAAACACTGATTTGCTATATTAAAATGTTACCCTGCTTATTGTACTTCACTACACCTTACACAACGCCCACATTTTATCTCAAGCAAGTGCCCTTATGCTAAAAGTGTTCTGATGGAGTGAAAGACACTTCCTCTTGTCTACAGGCACCATCTAGTGGTGGCTGTGTGTTTTTAAAAACTGTTTCACTGCTCATGATATTATCTACTAAGTTGTGGTTAAATCTCCCGTGAATCTCATTTATCTTTACGGAATATTTTAAAACATGAAACATGATATGCAGTTTGATCCTTTCAAAGGGAGTTTTGATGTGTTCTGATCTGTGTAGTTTTGGAAGGCTTTTTCTCTTCCTAATTTATGATGATCCTATTATTTGCACGGTTTTATAGTGAGGGTAAGTGATTGCAAAGGTTGTGGGTTCAAGGACATTAGGCTTTTAGACTAGGCTGGCAATCCAGTGCAATCCTGGTGGGAGCACTGCATTGTCGAATGAGACATTGAACCGAGGTTCACCCTGTTTAGGTGAATATTTGGGATCCCATGGCATGATTTGAAAAGAGAAGGGAGACTAAGCCGGTGTCCTAGACAACAATCTCTCAGTTTAAAAACTGCTGATTGACTTGCAAGTCTGTTTGTGGGACCTTGCTGAGTGCAAATTGGACCCTGCACAGACATTTAACAGTACTTTGAAACTTTTGGACGTGATAATGCGCTAAATCAAATGTAAGGATTATTATGTATTATCATGAATAATGTCTAGGAATGGCAGCAGCACAAGTAAAATGCAGTTATGTGTCAACCTTTCTCCCTGTTCTTACAGGCCTTTTGAAATGATTTATTGAAACTCTTATACCCCTCAATCTAACATCTAATTATTATTATTATTATAATACCAACCATTAGTAAGTCTTTTCTGGTACACTTTGAAATGTTATATACCTATTAATGTAGGTCATCTCCAAAGGTTAACACTACTTGGCAAAAGTTAAGCTATTTTCTTATAAAGTCCACTATTGTTAAATTGTTCAGTTGGAGTTTACTATTTTAATCTTTATTACTATCATTAATAATTTTAAACAATATTTTACTGAATGTACATTGCTAATAGATAAAAATATTTTCCAAAAATAATCACTGACTCATACTGACCACAACACTATACTTGTTATCTTGCTATCCCATCTCTGCTATCTTTTTTATCCTGCCAAAGCTCCAATATTTCTGCTGAATAGGCACATTTAAAATGAATTAAAAGGCAAATAACATTGTCCAGGACATATCTAAGATGCAAAAGAACTTTAAACATATTTAAAACTCAATAATAAAATATCAGAACCTTATTAAAATGCTCAAATTTTAAAAAATATGACTTAGAAGAAACATCGACTCAAGAGATGCAGATTGCAGCTATAAGGAAATGTCTCCACATGACTGAATATATCCAGTTAGAAAACCCTAACCATTGAGAGCATGACTGACCTCAAAAGACACAACTGACCTCACAGGATATGTTAAAGGCTAAAGGTTATTCCCAGCTGAAAGAACATGCAGAAGAGCTGAACAAAGCAGACATAACTGTCTTAAATCCCTATGCTCATTCTGAGGCCTGGAGCAAATCTAGTATAAAGCTTTATTTGATAATGTGCTTTGCAAATAGCTTAATGAGACTCAATTTACACTGAAAGGGAACAAAATTATTAGCTGAAACGGACTATTTTGTTTTACACCATGGACCATGTTTTCTGATTGTATTCAAATTTCCATGAAATTTCAATTTCCTTTTGAGAATTATAGTCCCTGGAATGAGTCAAAAGAAGCAAAAGAAGTTTCCTCTGAAATATACAGCTCAGTTCAAACAATTGAGCAGTCAAACCTGCTTCTATCTTCATACAGGCAGTACTTTTTTAAGTGTTCCCCGTACTTAAAACATTTTTATTTTACCACTGACATTCATATGCACCTTAATAGCTTATACATTTGAAAGCATTTTGAAAACAGGTGCCAAATAAAAAGCTTTGTTGTTGTTCCTGGAAACATCATTTGAGTCTTATGGCTAAGTACCAGATGCTTCATAGAATCTTTCCCAGCATCACAGGCTCTCTCTACCACCTTCACTCTCTCTGCAAACATCTGCCACCTTGACACTCTCTCTGCTAACCTCTGGCCCCCTCCTCCCCTCTCTACCAACCCTCATATAAACACAGGCATACACTCTTGCAAACTCTTCACCATTACTATGAAAGAAGAAGAGAATGGCGGAACCAAAGATACATTGTTTGTCCTAATATATTGTTTGTCCTATTCATTCGAAATCCTGTAAAAAAAATCAGTGCCCGATTCATAGTTAAAGCTTAATACAGAAATGACACCCAAGACATAGGCTGCTGTAGTTACAGTATCTATTTTGTTTGCCTTCGGAATTTTCTTTTAAAAATCGAAAACATTCCATCCTCTCTAGATATTGCATAGTTCAATTTTTCTTTAAATCGACATAGCTTGCGGTCCAAGTGCTTTGAGAAATTCACAGATTCCTCTCTCATTATAATATTTTGGGGGGGACTTGAGGGGTGGGAGGGGAAAATTGAGGAACTTTGCGAAGAAGTTACAGAAAGAGACTACTATATTTGTTTGAATTCTAACCATGCAGGCTACAAAAGAGATACTGTCTTTTCCTGGCATAAGCTTGCGTGGCATTTAGTAATTATAGATGCTTACTGCTATCACAGACACTCCGGCGGTGGTGCTGCTCGGTTTGGGGCCCGTGTTGAAATGTTTCTGTAGCTTTCCAGCTACTGATAGTTGGTACTCATTCTCCGGCAAGCCGTCATCCTACATGAGAACACAAAACACACAAGACAAGTCAACCAAAGAGAAAAGATCTATTTCATTGTACATTCATGCCAACTAAGTGGATTTTTTTTCCCCTTCAAATTTTGGGACCAGCCAGATGGTTTCCTCTGGTCCTGCTCATTCACTTGTTCTTCAACGAATGGTCGAGTCCTCACCCTCATAAATATATTCCAGAATTCATGGGAGCGGATTCAGTAAACTAAACTTACATTCACCCAGGGGTGTTCCAACAGCTGTTGTGCTGAATATCGCTGGTCCACATCAACCTGAAGCATCATGGTAATAAGCTCCTGTGAAACAAAAGGACAGACTGGATCACTGTTTGAGTGTTTGTGTGGAGTTGAAGGATAATTATTCATCCAGACCAGCAGAGAGGAGATCTGAGTTGCAATAATCCATCAACCCATAGCTAAATTAAAATATACTTTGGGGAAAAATTCCACCTGGGGTCGAGAGTCATTTTAAATATAAATACACAGTCAACCCGCTTTACAATATATGCTGTGGAGCACTTTGGGGCGTCTCAATAACACAATAAGGCGCTATATCAAATGCAAGGATTATAATTATTATTATTAAAAATAAATAAAGCCGCTTTTCTCAAGTTCTTTTAAAACCAACTTCAAAGTTACGATTGAATTCAACAAGTTGTCAAATTGTGGCCACTAAAAATGACACATCACTGGAGCACAAAGGTAAAGTTTCTCTCCAGCGGTGTGTCCTGTGATAATTATCATCGGTGATAGTTATCATATCACATAATCACACTTTCACCTTTATATCTGTCATTACACGATGGCAGCAATTTCAAACAACTTAAAACGCGTCAGCAACTTTTGAATGGTTTAAATCAGGAAGTGCGCCAAGCCTACTCTCAGGAATGTCCTCTGCTACAATGTGCTTTCAGGGCTACATTCCCGTGAATCAGCCTAAAATAACCATAAGGAATCTGCTGCCCGGAATTCTTCAATTATCAATTATTCATTAATTAAAGGATCATGCTTGAAGTCGCTGCATTTTAGACCCAAGTATAAAGTTGGGGGAGATTTATTTTCCAGTTGTTGTCTATGAGAAGGGATTTTTAATATAAACGCTTGATTTAGAGCCCTTCACGTCAGGTACAACAGCAACAAAATTACATTTGTACAGCGCCTTTCATATCGGGTGGACGTCCCAAGCCAATCAGTGTTTTATACCCGAGCTGGGGGTTGGGAATGGGGAGGGCGGAGGGCAGGGGGAGAAGGAGGGTGACCGAAGGCACGGTCGAAGGAGGCAAGGGATGGGGTGAACCAGAGGGCCTGCGGAATGGAGTTCTAGAGGGTGGGGCAGAGTAGCAAAAGGCCGACCCAACAATGGTGGGACGGGCGAGGAAGAGGACGTGAAGCAGGCCGGGGGAGCCCATTGAGGTAGACTTCGCAAAGGGCTTTATAGGATTTATTATAAGGTATTAATTGTAATTTAAAGGTGAATGCAACAACCAATTTGCATCTAGCAATGTCCCAGAAACAGCCATGATGTGAATGACCAATTTTATCTGGGGAATTGTTGGCTATGGCACCGGGAGAAATTGCCTTCTCTGCCATGAGATCTTTATCGTCTACCTGAACAGACAGACAGGTGTACAGTCTCACCTGAAGGACAATATCCCCATTAATGCAGCATACCTCAAGGACTGCAATGGAGCATCACACTAGACGATGCATGTTCAAAGTCCCAACATGGGGCCTGAACCCACAATCTTCTAACTCAGCAGTGAGAGTGATTACCAACTGAACCATGCTGACACATGTTGTGCTGGCAGGGCAATTTTCCAAACTGAACAGGGATACTGGATCATTCGTACATGGCAATACCTGGGCTCCACCTGGTTCATCATTTTCTGATGAGCGCTCGAACAAGTAAGAACGATTGCGCATGGATATCACGTTAAATGGGAGTGCATCACGGTAAGTAACAGTATTAATCTCTACACTTAATGTACCAATTATAATGTTGAGAATGTCTCAAACAGCCATTCTATTTTTTAGTAAACAGCCCCCATGTCTAAGCTTCATTTGTAGAACTGGAGCAGCGATAACAAGAGGGGGTGGGGGATTAAAATGCTCAGATAAATATTTGTGACACAGACCGTAGCTAATTACAGTTGACAGTAAACCCCATATGCATGCCAAATGGAAAATTCCCACCCACGTCTTGTTTCAACTTCCAACAAATTTGGGAACATGTTTAGTCGTCCTTCAATGATGTAAATTATTTCAGGGGATGGTACGACACATAAGACGTCCAGCATCTGTCACACCTTCACCCACGTTCAGTATGATATACTCCTGGGGATTTTACTAGCACAAAAGCACCTTTACATTTTGTTCCATAATGTAAACAATACTAGAAAGGTTACGCCGTTCATTCGGTTTCCTCATGTCACTGAAATTATAACACCTCCCAATGCTGCTCACTGAATCTCTTAATCCTTTACAAGTTTAAAATTTGTCATTCACTTCATGGCTGTTTGTGGGACATTGCTGAGTGCAAATTGGCTGCTGCGATCTCCTACAAAATACATGGTCACTACACACAGTAGATCCTGTGAGGCATCCTCCTGACATGAAAAGCACAATATCAAAGTTTTTTTTAACAATATATCAAAGGTTTCCTTCATTTTGCAAGGAATATTATTATTAAAAATCTTTTGATTATTTAAGTGTTTCTGATGCATAGGATGATATTTCATTACATATTCCAGTGAAGCTTGCAAACTGTGGAAAGGAATATGTGATATTTATCACATCAAATGGACCAAATGACAACACCTTCCCTTTCCCCACATCAGACTATCAGACTACGGTGATGACAACAGAGCCTGGTCCTCAGAGTTGGACATCTGGCTCACAAATCATAACCTTTGACTGACAGTTAGTGCAATATTAGCTTATAGCTAAAAGCATTCTACTGTGAGGCACCTGCATTGAAATTTTGATATTAAATCTAGTTGGAACTTTGCATACTCCCGAGCTAGCTGGAGTACTTTGCATCTGTTTGTCTTAACGATGTATACTTATTTTACAGCATCTTGTGGTAAGTTCTTGAAAAGAACACTTCTCTCCTTGTTTGCTAAGACATAAAAAGCTAACCAAAGGAGCACTCATCCCAGTTAGTCCAATTTAATTTAATTAGCATTGGTATTGCACAACACCAATTATGCCCATAGCTATTTATGATACAGTTGTATTCTGGTCTTCATTATATAGTCATTTCAGCCATCAATATTAAATTAACTCAAGCCAAAGGGAAAGTCTAGCTTTTTGCATCCAGGTAAATGAGCTGCACAAATTAATTACTGATTTATTATCCCATCGGTGTCATCTCCACTGTGAGATCAGTAATCATTACTGACAGCAGGAAACCTGAACCATCATCGATGTCCTCTCCTAATCTTCTGTACACATTTAAATCAATGATGGTTACATCCATATTTCAAAGGGCTGATGTCTTCTCAGGAATGTGCCTTGAAACAAAAATATTTTGCAATATTTACCAACGCCCAAAATGTTCTGGTCAACAACAGTGACTCTGTATCAGAGATTATTATTTTCTCTAATTTGGGGGATGGGGAGAGGAATGAAGCATCCTCACAAGCCAGTGACAGCAGAACCACATTGCTGGTATGTGTGCTCCCCTTCCCCTCAATTTAGGTTGATCATATTGAACCAAATAAACCAAATCTGGAGACAAATTGAACTCACCGCAATCCCTAACGCTGGCAGTACTGAAAAAGCTTGTTGGATTAACGGCTGTGTTTTTCTGTTGAGTGTATCTGTCTTAGAATTCTATTGTTCTAGCTCAGTTTATTACTGAACTCAAGACAGGACAAATTTGCCAGGGACACAACACCTCATTCTGGGACTGTTCCCAGAAATCAGGGAAATATGGTCAACCTAGCCTAAATACAAGACAAGCATCAGTAACTCAGCTCACTGTGCCTTAAAATACTTGGTCACTTCCTCTTCCAATAACACTAGCGCCACCTAGTTTGATTAACTGTTTACGGCAGGGAGGCAGCAAAGTGAAAGCAACATTACTTCTCTTCAGCCGTGTCTTCAGCTCCCCTCTCGACTCTCTACCCCCTCCCTCGTTCCCTCCCTTCCCTCCCCTCACCCTGACCATTTCCCCCCTGCTCGGGTCCCGACCCAACTGTCCAGCGCCTTGGGACATCCTCCCGACGTGAAAGGCGCTCTATAAATGCAATCTTGTTGTTGTTGTTGTTGTATCCAAAGTATTATGAAATGACACTGGCCTGCACTCAGTTATGTTAATCACATTCACAACAAAACTACCATTATAAAGTGGCATGCATAAAATTGTAACTAGAAGGAAAACTTATTATTGCCTTTGAAACAGAGGACTTTTTCAACTCAAATCATAATACAGTATAGGAAAAGTTCCTCCCAAATCAGTGGCTGTAAACAGCTTGATCAAAATTAACCCTTTTTTACAGCTTGAGATGAATTGTTCATAGCCACTAATTTGAGAGGTACTTTTTCTACAATACGAAAATCAAAGATTGCCTCATAGATGGTCAATAGTTGTTTCACTGGGTCAATTCCCTCCCAGGAAAATAATGTCTGACAAATTACTGAACATTTGTCCTGAATATTTCCTCAAATATTAATTTGATCGATCCCAATAAACCGGTTCTGTATACTGGCCTTTTGTACCAAGGAGAAATTTGATTTTGTTGACAGGCTGTGTTCTTTGATGTGGAGTTCTCAATCAGATCATTTGCTTCATCGATACTACACTTTACATTATATTCTGTGAAGCAGGTTGAGACGTCTGAATGACGTGATAATGCACTACATCAAATGCAAGGATTATTATTATTAAGTTGTAGTATTCTACTGTAAAGAAATACAAAATCTGATGCATATCTAATGCAGTGGCCAACACATACACTTGGGGCAAACACTTAATGAATCTGAAGGCATAGTCAAAGAGGAATGTCTTGGGATAGACCCTGAAGGAGGCAAGGGAAGAGGCCAGGATGGAGTTCCAGAGAGTGGAGGCAGAAAGACTTGGGCTGAATAAATCACTTGCCTGCTGATGGTCGGGTGGGCAATGTAGGGATATGAAGCAGGCCAGTGCTTGCTTATGCAGAGGAAGCAGGCGAATTGGTAAGGTTTTGAGAAGGTCACAGAGATACGGTGTGTCAGGACAATGGGGGGATTTAAAAGTGAGGACGAGGATCTTGAGCTCAATCCTCTGGGAGATGGGGAGTCGGTGGTGCCTGGCAAGGATGGGGGTGATAGGCTTGCGGAGCCTAGCACAGGAGAGGGCGATAGCTGCAGAACTCTGAATGGTCTGCACCTTGTAGAGAGAAGAGTTGGGAAGTCCAGGAAGCAGAGCATTGGCGTAATCAAGCCTGAACGTGATAAGAGTATTGATAAGAGTCTCGGCGGCCCAAGGGGAGAGGTAATGACGGATGCGGGCATGTTCTGGAAGTGGGTGTGGGGGGTTGAAGCTGAACAGGTCAGAGCATGGATGTGGGGTTTAAAGGACATTTGAGAGTCAAAGAAGACAACAAGGTTCCTCGGAGCTCTGTGAGATGTATAGCATATAATGTACAGTGTATAGTGATGCTATCAGCGCCCTATCAACGTTCAACAGGAGAATGTTGGCGCACATCCAGGACTTGATATTTGACAGGCAATCGGTCAGAATAGCAATGGTCTTGGAATCTATGGTGGAGGCAGAGAGACAAAACTATATGGCATCTGCATACATGAGTGGGAGAATGCAGATATTAAAGAGGAGAGGACTGAGGTTAGAGCACTGAGGAACACTGCACGTGATGGTACGGGGATAGACTATCATTTTGACATTACCACTCAGATTATGTTGACTAGCCAATGTAATAGATGACACTTCTGTGGCCCCAATATCTCAAGAACAGCAAACTTCCATAAAATATATACTTGTTTATATTTATCCTTTCAATTGCCCCAGTTTAACCAATCTAATGCTCATGTCAAAGGACAATGATAGGAAGATTAAATGCTTTAGGTAGGAATCTATTCTATGTATTTATAATCTAAGGATTGGGTCTTCAGAGAATCAGCACAACAGTGAGACACTCATCCCAGCGCGCCCTTGCTAGTTTACAGGCTGCTCTGCTCTTCTTATTTAAGAAAGACTAATTGTGTATGTTTGATGCATTTCCAGAACTCACAAGGTTTTCTTGTGAACTGTTACTCACTTTTGCAGCATCAGAAATGTTGTCCCAATACGGTGATGGAAATTCCTGATGTCCCATCAGTATCTGGTCAAACAGGACGTCTTGATCATTGCTGGGTCTGTCAATCACATCAACTAAGGTTTTAATTATAGGCCTCGAGTTACAATCTTAGAGAAACATCTTGCGTTTCTTTTATTTAATAAAACAGGAGGGATAAGGAACAACCGAAACTACATTTTCAGTCAATTCTTAGTCAGATGCCATCTGCTGGACTTTCATGAAATTGTAGCTTCAGAGTTTTGGTCGTGAAGTGAATGGGGATCCTAGAAATGTACAAGAAAGAGCTCAAGACAAAATATCAGAACATGAATAAATTCCAATCCTTATTTGGATAGTTGAAAATAAAAATGGATTCTCAAAATGGATTAATTTAGAAGCCTTGTAATGGATTCATATCATGGTTTTTATGACGCGATAAGGCACTATATCAACTGCAAGGATTATTATAGGATTATTATCCATGTCAAGTAGCTCTTAACAGTGCAGTGCAGCATGAAGTGCAAAAATCACTAGGTGATGTAGTGTCCTTGATTCTTAACCTGTGTTTCTCCCAGGGTTATGTCTTAATTAGAGAAAAGAGAGCATGGTAGCATCAGTTAATTCGGAGCACTGTTCCCAAATGGAGGATGGCATGTAACTTGCACTGGTTTAGTGCTTATCACCAACATCAATCAGGCTACAAATGACAAAAATGTCATCTTATTAAGATGATTAAAATAATCTGATTCTGCAGATGTCCCTGGCTGTTTGTGGATAAATGTAGTAAGGTTAATCCCTAGTCTGTCCTGAATAAATTGACCTTAACTGCTCATCCCTGGACATTACGATTGGTACTCCAGGCTAGGTTAGGGGAATAAAATTAGCCAGGGATCTTGCGCCTGGTTATCATCTAGCGAAGCCTGGTGGAAAGTGTATTGTGTCTGGATGTCAGGATTTGACTTGGATGGGATTGCCCTCCTCTCACTGCCATCATCCCACCCACTTCCCAGTCAAAAAGCCCAAATTCACACATGAAAAATTATCCATTTGGCATGAAACGAAACTCCAGCATGAGTCTTGAGTCATTGTCTTCAGGAAAGGAAAATTTTTTTTGGAAAAAAAGGAATTGATTGATCTAGAACACTAGTGGCACCGTGGTGGGTGATCTGGTGATTTGCAATGCAGATCTAATAAATAATTGACAGCCAATGATTAAGCTGTTTCAGTTGGAATCAATTTGTCAGTTCTTATCGGAATCGGTACTGTGCAGGAAATAAAGGCTGCCAGCAAGGAAATATATAAACAAACAAGCAAGAACAATTTTAGAAACATAAACATGTCTCATACACACATGTGAAGAGGGTCTTACTGCAAAACCTGCACACTCACCCAAACTCCTAACCTTTCCTGGATACCTTCTTAATCACCTTGAGCTCTTCATCCAGCCCATACCAAGCTATCCTCCCAGCAGGAAGTCTTCTCTATTTGTAGGTGAGGGGGAGGGGGGGGGATATCCTCTTTGTTAAATGTCAGCTGCCCAACTTATCATCTGGTTCCTCCCCTGTTCAGCCCTTGCCTCCCTAGGACTACTCAGGAACGGGCATCTGTGAAATGCTGACCTGTTTCCGTTTACTACTCCATCCCATCGTCTTCCTTCCTGCTCATCCATCAAGCCCTGTGCTGACCAACCTGGTGTCAGCCTGATAGCAACCTCTTTGAGTCAGAAGACTGTGAGTTCAAGCCCTACATTGGGACTTTGAACTCATAGTCTGGGGATGCTGAATTGTTGGATTCCTTAAGCAGACAGTAATCAACAACTGCAACAGGTTGCCAGGAAGGGTGTTGGAGGCCAGTACATTGGATTCATTTAAGAAACATCTTGATGCTATGATGCATCAGTGGGAGGGGGGGTAGATTTGGTGTTCTGAAGGGATTAAATCGGATGGGTAAAAAGGCTTTCTTCATCCATACCAATCTTGTGAACCTGTGAGGTGCCTTCCTTCAACTGGAACATTAAACTGAGCTCTTGTCTGCCTGTTCAGGTAAATATTAAACATCCCACAACACTACTTTGAGAATAGAAGATAATCTTTCCTGGTCAACAATCCTCAGATAAAACTAGTCAATCCCATCATGGCTAATTGGGGATATTACTGAGGGCAAATTTACTGCTGTGTTAGAATAGACAGTCCTTACACTTTGCAATAAATCCTGTATGGCACTTTGAGACATCCTCCTGATGTGAAACATGTCATATCAAATGCAAGTATTATACCAAATGCAAGGATTATTAATCATGTACCCCAATCACACTGTAGTATTTTGTCAGTTTATACGAATCCGTAATACTGTATGTAAATTAAAAAAACAGAAAGACCAAATGTAAAGCTGTATTTATTCTTTTAATTGCTAAAATCTGTCATACTTTGGAAGTTTTCTATTGTGTTTTAACAGTACAGGTGAGTACTTAATTCAGAAAATAAGAGCTTTTGGAGCAAAATTAGGCTATAGAGCCCAACGAGCCCTTTTCTTTTTGATAGTTTTCACCTTTCTCTGCCAGCCCTCTCATCATTTCCCTCAATCCCTTTGGTGTTCAGGTACACATCAACTTGCCACTTGAATCCATTTTTACTGTTATACAGTGTTATTCCATGGTAACTTTTTGCCCTTGATGTAATATAAGTTCTGTAGCTCAGTGGTCAGAACGCTCTTCTTACAAGCGAATAGAATCCAGGTTCGATTCCCGGCAGGGCGAAATGTTGGGCAAGTTTCCTTACCCCACACGCCTCTGTCTACCTAGCAGTAAGTAGGAAGCCGTTTGTTAGTCGATTGGCAGATCACTTTTCCGGGGGTAATAATTCTTTAAAAAAAAATTGGTCACTCAATCCTCGACTGTTTGTGGGACACTGCTGTGTGCAATTGGCTGCCACGTTTTACCCCTAAAATATACAGTCAATTCACTTTACAGTATATTCTGTGAAGCGCTTTGGGACATCTAGAAGATGTGAAAAGCCCTATATCAAATGCAAGGATTATTATTATTATATATTATAAGTCTGCCTAATTTCCTCTCTCATATCTAACTTCCAAATATTGAACTTAAGTCCCACGGCCATTACATATAATCAAAATAGCAACGTGCCCCAACACCAATCTCTAAGGTAGCTCAAATGTAATCTCTTTTTCGCCTTAAAGGTTTACTATTCACAACTGTCTTCCATTTATTGTTTTTGAGCCAATGTTCTGCCAACCAAACATTTTCGTGACTGTTTTGTGATGCTTCATCTTGTCCACTAAACATCATTTGAAACCTTGTCAAAAGTTTTCTGAGAGCCAGATTGTAATGGTACCAAACCAATGCCTGGTAGCCTGTAGGAGAGTGGGGAGGGAGGGGAGGGGAAGGGGGAAATACTCTGTTTCTTTGTGTTAAGTTACTTTCCTGCTAACCAGCACTTCAATGTTGCTATTGCTGACCAGTCAGTCCAATGCTTCAGCTAAAACAGTCATGATGGAGTGGAACACAGGGGAGGAATCAAACCCACAGTCAGTCTTGTTATTAACTGGTTTTACTGACTATATTTAACAACGTAATAATAATCCTTACATTTAACAATGTAATAATGATCCTTACATTTGATATAGCACCTTTCACATCGGAAAGACATCTCACAGTGCTTCACAGAATATACTCCATAGTGTAGTAACTATTTTGTAAGTGAACGCGGCAGCCAGTCTGAGCATAGTAATGTCCCACAAATAGCCATATTATAAAACACAAGGATTATAATATCTCGTGACTGTAATACAGTATAAGGTAGAACAGATAATTAAGAAATTCTTGACGGCAACAGATTAGGTCTAAAATATAGTAATCTCTAACAAGGATCAGTAAATAATGACTTTGAGTCACAAACAAATCCTTTCATCAAGATGATTAGAAGTACATCAATCTGGCCTCGGGCAACTCCATTCCAAAATTAGACTGGTTTCCGCAGGAACAGGGAGAGGTACTTCTGGTTATCGGAAGGAGTTCCCATTGGCATCTCAGGAGTCTGTTTAAGGAACCCCATTAGAAATCGCTGCAGTTGAGACCTCATTACCTCTTTCAGATCCTTAATCATAACACTATTTGTCTCACTATCATCCAATTGTTGTTGATCTTCACTGTATTATGAATGCTACTTATGTGGACTTTAACTGTATCTGTGAATAATTCTTTGGAGGCTACGAGGAATCATTCAGTATTAAGTAATTATTCACGTCGCCTTCAGGTGGAATTTCTGGGAGCAATTAAGCTACTGAAAGATATAAATTGAGAACTGATCTAGATAATAAGGCATCCATTGTTTGCCCATGTATCTTGTCTCTTTCTTAGATACACTTGTGTAATTAAAAACTTGTAGCTGTACGTTTGAGCGAAAGCTTTTAACATCTGCTTAAAAATAATTACAACTTAAGCACTTAATCAGCAATTTTTTTTGAAATTAGAAAGAACAAAGGAACAAAGACACAAATGTGAACGGTACATACCCACGGAACGGAGGGAATCCACACAATAGAATATAAGTGATCACACCAGCAGCCCAGATGTCGACTTTCAGGCCATAGCTGTGAAGCAAAACTCCTCATTAAGAACGTAGAATATGAGCCAAATGCAGTAAAAAACAATAATAAATTGGTCATTTTCAATCTACGACTGTTTGTGGGACATTGCTGTGTGCAATTGGCTGCCGCGTTCGCCCACAAATATGTCAATTCACTTTACAGTGTGTTCTGTGAAGCGCTTTGGGACGTCCTCCCGACGTGAAAAGCGCTATATCAAATGCAAGGATTATTATTATTAACCAAACCTTGAACTGTACCAGCTAATCTCCCCAGCATTAGTGCATTGTTCACTTTGTAGATGATACTTGACTTTAAAATTAGTAGACGCAGCAGCTGAAGTTGGGATGCTCTGGGTTCAAGTCCCAGTGCTGTTTGTTTGCCCTGGCTGTGTGGACTTTATCCAATTTCAGCTGGGCTAGTGGGTTGGGCTCTTTGTCAAACTGCATCATCTCCAGCAAGAGCAGAGAAGGAAGCATTGGCAGTCTTGAATTGGTTGCAAGGTTCAAAACAACAGCATTGTCCATAAATTATTTCAAACAGAATTTTAGTTAATTAGCTAAGGAGAGTTGGACTAGATTAGGTAGCTCATGTGGGTAAAAAATATTGGTGCAGACATGCTGGGCCAAACAACTTGTTTCTGTGCTGTAAAATTCTATGACTAAGTAAAACGGATTTAAATATTCATCTGGAGATTAAATCCAGGGTGCACTAATGAGATTGTAAATCTCATTCTGCATGAGATTTGAAGGAGTTGAGTGGAATTAGATCTCCACTATCTCAATGCTGGACAAATCCACAGGACTAATTTGCACTTGCATAAGTGGTAAAATTCCCATTTGAATTGGGTATGTTTTAACAATGGGTTTCGGCATAAAGAAATGTGCCACAGATCCAGTGGGAGGGAAAAGGTTTTTCTGAGGTTTAGTTCAAGCAATTTGTTGGGCATGTAAATCTGTGTTGATCTGAGAGTCATTATTCAAACAATGCAAATACGTTCCATTACAAAGCATGTACTTTTCTAGTCATAGAAATGCACCAGACTTGTTTTTCTCTGATAACAACAAGTAACATCATAGATTTGTATCTGACATTTATTATCAACCAAAAATGAGCATCTAACTACTTGAAATGACACTTGGAAGGTCAGTAACAGCAGGTGAAAATTTCAGAACTGACTAGAAACTGTATGTTCATGAACTGACCAGGACATCTCTCATGACAGTGAATTCTGCACATGTTCAGTCATGCAGAAAACCATCAAAGTTCAGTCAAGTCTGCAGCATCAGGCACACATAAAAGGACTGCCATCAAAGAACAGTTTACATCAGAAAATCCAAACGACCGTTGACTACAAGATTCGATAACAACTTTCAAGGGAGAAGGGGATAGATATTTGGGGAGGACAAATTTGCAAGGCTATGGGGAGAGAGAGGGGGAGTGGGATTAATTTGGATAGCTCTTTCAAGAGCTGGCATGGCACGATGGGCCAAATGGCCTCCTTCTGTGCTGTATATTGCTATGATTCTATAAAGTGGTGAAGGAATGCACGTGGTACATTACCCAGTTTCTGCGATTATTTCTGGAGCCACGTATGTAGGGGTTCCGCAGACAGTGTACAAAGGCCCATCCACTAGTGTGGCAAGACCAAAGTCACCCAGCTTCAGTGACTTGCTTCCATCCTGATGCTCGTAGACCTACAGAGGGAAAAGTAGTACAGAGAGTTAATATTTCATGAAATAAAAACTGCATGCTTGCCTGTTGCTATAGCAATGATTGCCCAAAGGACATCAGTTGATGTGCTAGCCTGCTACTAGGAAACATTAAATTGGGCACATATTGGAGGCACATTCCATGTCCTGGCATTGCACCATTTGGGTCAATACAAATTTGATGAAGGAAACCCTCACTCACAACTAGGACATACTCATTCAGGAGCTCCTGTTTGCACATCAGGTTTCAAAGCGTCCATACGGTTACATGCTTTGCCAGTTTTCCTAATTATCTATTGTCATATATTATGTGTTGTGACACTACGAGTTTCTGCACAACACATAATTTCTTGCATTATCGATGGCGCGATGTAATAAAACAACATTACATTGGTATAGGGCCTTTCATGTCGGGAGGACGTCCCAAGGCGCTGGACAGTGTACAGCATTTCAGACCTGAGCTGGGGTCAGGGGGGAGAAGGGAGGGGAGGGGAAGGGGGGGTGACCGATGGCATGGTTGAAAAGGAAGCTTTTGAGGCGGGACTTGAAGGAGGCGGTGAGCTGGAGTGATTGGGGATGGAGTTCCAGAGGTTGGGGGCAGAGTGGCTGAAGGCTCTCCCGCCAATGGTGGGGCGGGTGGGTCAACAACAACAACTTGGATTTATATAGCGCCCTCCATGCCGGACAGTGTCCCAGACGCTTCACAGAATCGGGGGACATGGAGCAGGCAGGAGCCGGCTGAGCGGATACTAGCACTGATGGAGAATGGACCCTATGCCTGAACAGTAACAACCTCATAAAACACACCCCAAAAATTTGGATATGGATTAAAAGTCATTATTAAAAGCCCTTGAAAAAGAAATCAGGTGTGTAATGGTATAACCTATCATTAAATCGGGGAGCGGCAGCGGCAGCAGGACAGCGCGGGGAGGAGCCTGGGCCTACTGACCCAGGTACTTAAATTCGAATGCTGCCGATAGGTCAAGGAGGACGAGGAGGCAGAGGGAGCCCTGGTCAGGATGTCATTGGTGACCTTGACCAGGGCAGTTTCTGTGCTATGGGCAGCATGGAAACCCGACTGAAGGGGTTCGAATAATGAATGGGCGGAGAGGAAAGAGCGCAGCTGGGAGGCGACAACTCGTTCCAGGACCTTGGACAGGAAGGGGAGGTTGGAGATGGGCCGGTAGCTTGATACTCCATACGCCTCTGTTTAGCAGTAAATAGGAACCTGATTATTAGGCTAGTCGATTGGTGGATCATTTTCCTGGGGTAATAATTGCTTCAAAAAAAAAATTTGCTCACTCAATCCACGACTGTTTGTGGGACACTGCTGTGCGCAATTGGCTGCTGCGTTTCTCCCACAAAATATACAGTCAATTCACTTTACAGTACATTCTGTGAAGGGCTTTGAGATGTCTCGAAGATGTAATAAGGCTCTATATCAAATACAAGGATTAGTAATATTATTAGGCACAGGTTGGCAAGAGCCAAGGCTTGGTGATCCCATAATGTGTATCTCGAGTCTAATGAGGTAAGCAAGCTTGATAGCACAAATTGATTAGGTTAAGCACTGCAAGAGCTGATGGCTGGATTTCCATGTTCAGTGGTCTCCAATGATGTTATGAACATGAGCACTGATCAGGGTTGTTGTTCAGTGCCTTTGCTTATAACGGGTTGAAATTTTAATGATGAACACAGTATAAAAACCAAGGGCAGGAAAACTGGTTTATTGTTTTTCTCCCTCTGTGACATAGAGGAGCTGAAACTAATTGCAGTAGGTCCACCTCTATTCTGGGTCAGGTCAATCCAATCTATGAGCACAGACAGGGGATCCAAAGAGTCCCTAATAAGTGACAAAAACACATGGGAAATGCTTCGGTGCTTGAGCCTATGTTGCTTCAGTGGATGAACATCCCCCCAACAGTACCCATTAGCAAGCTTCACACAAAAACTGTTTGTGGGACACTGCTGTGTGCAATTGGCTGCCGCGTTGCGCCCACAAAATATATAGTCAATTCACTTTACAGTATTTTCTGTGAAGCACTTTGAGATGTCTCGAAGATGTGATAAGGCGCTATATCAAATGAAAGGATTATTATTATTATTATTAAATATACCTCGTTCTGCGAAGGAAAACTATTGGACTTCTCATTCTCTTACACAGCTAAACAGATAGATGGAAACAATTGTGTGGTTCAATTTTAGTTTTTAGTGAATTGAATAAACGTATTTATAATAAAAAAATGCATCAGTGCCTTGTTTCAGTCAGCTTGCATTACCAGGATCACCTTTGTAAGCATACCCTTCTTTGGCACATTATGCTCTGATGTGTTCAGCCATGTGAAGCCTGGACAATGAATTACTTAGGCACAATCAAATCAGGCAACGTTTTAAGCAGGAACTAATTAATGGTAATGAAGTGTCATATACAGTAGTTATAAAGATAACAATATCTTATTGTTTCTTTTAACATCATATCTTAACCATTAAGCAACAGAAATTCTAGTTGGAAGTAATTAAAGTGTGATTTACAACAACAACAACAAGATTCCATTTATAGAGCGCCTTTCACGTCAGGAGGACGTCCCAAGGCGCTGCACAGTTGGGTCATGACCCGAGCAGGGGGGAAATGGTCAGGGTGAGGGGAGGGAAGGGAGGGAGAGAGGAGGGGGGAAATGGTCAGGGTGAGGGGAGGGAAGGGAGGGAGCGAGGAGGAGGAAGAGAGTCGAGAGGGGAGCTGAAGGCACGGTCAAAGAGAAAGGTTTTGAGACCGGCCTTGAAGGAGGAAAGGGAGGAAGCAAGGCGAAGGCACTGGGGGATGGAGTTCCAGAGCCTCGGGGCTGAGAGGCTGAAGGCCCGACCACCGATAGTAGGGCGGTTGGGGCGGGGGACGTGGAGCAGACCGGAGCCAGAGGAACGGAGGGTACGGGCAGGTAGGTAGGGGGATAGTAGGTTGGAGAGGTAGGAGGGAGCAAGGCCGTGAATGGCCTTGTAGGTGAGGATGAGGATCTTGAAATCAATCCTCTGGGGGATGGGGAGCCAGTGGAGGCGAGCGAGGGTAGGAGTGATGTGGTCCCGAAGCCTGGTGCGGGACAGTACACGAGCTGCAGAGTTCTGAATGACCTGCAGCTTGTGGAGGGAGGTGCCGGGAAGGCCGGCGAGGAGAGAGTTCCCATAGTCCAGCCTTGAGGTGACAAAGGCGTGAACCAGGGTTTCAGCAGCGTGAGGGGTGAGGTAGTGCCGTAATCTGGCGATATTCCGGAGGTGATGGAAGGCGGTGCCAGTTGTGGTGCGGATGTGAGGGAGAAAGGACAGCTCAGGGTCGAACAAAACGCCGAGGTTCCTGACTGGCTTTGAGAGGTGGAGAGTGCAGCCTTGGATGCTGATGGTGTCAGCGCCTGAGGTGCGGAGGCGCTGACGTGAGCCAATCAGGAGGGCCTCGGTTTTTCGCACGTTGAGCTGAAGAAAGTTGTCTCTCGTCCAGGACTCGATGTCGGACAGGCAGGCTGTCAGGACATCGGTGGTCGTGGAGTTGAGAGTAGAGGAGGAAAGGTAGAGTTGGGTGTCATCCGCATACATGTGGAAGTTAACCCCATGTTTGCGGATGATGTCACCGAGGGGGAGCATATAGAGGGTGAAGAGGAGGGGACCGAGGACAGAGCCCTGAGGGACACCACATGAGACAGTACGGGGGGTGGAGGAGAAGCCATTCGTTGAGACGAAGTGAAGACGGTGGGAAAGGTAAGAGCTAAACCATTCAAGGACAGTGCCTTGAAGGTTGAGGTGGGAGGACAAGCGGTGGAGTAGGATAGCGTGGTCGACCGTATCGAATGCTGCCGATAGGTCGAGGAGGACGAGGAGACAGAGGGAGCCCTGGTCACAGATAGTCAGGATATCATTGGTGACCTTGACCAGGGCAGTTTCTGTGCTATGAGCAGCACGGAAACCTGACTGAAGGGGTTCAAAAAGAGAATGGGTGGAGAGGAAAGAGCGCAGTTGGGAGGCGACAACTCTTTCCAAGACCTTGGAGAGAAAGGGGAGGTTGGAGATGGGCCGGTAGCTTGATAGCTGCGACGCATCAAGGGAGGGTTTTTTCAGGGTGGGCGTGATGATGGCAGTTTTTAATGGAATGGGGACAGAGCCAGAGGAGAGGGACAGGTTTATGATGTCAGTGATGTGTGGGGCAAGAAAATGGAGCTGGGAGATAAGGAGTGGAGTGGGGATGGGGTCAAGGGAGCAGGTGGTTGGTTTTAGGGATAGGATGAGTTCAGTGACAGAGGGTGGGGAAACGGGTACGAAGGTGTGTAGGGGAGGATGGGTAGGAGTCGGAGTGTGGGAGGGAAGGGGTGGGTGGTGGGTGGAAGTTGGAGGGGAAGTGACCGCGGAGCGGATTCCCTTGATCTTGGATTCAAGGAAATCCAGCATCTCCTCGCAGTGAAGGTTGGAGGAGATGACCTGCGCGGGGTGGCGGGGGGGACGGAGGAGTCCCTGTCCTTGAGTGGTTTAGGTCGTACCTCTCTTACCGTCTTCACTTTGTTTCCATGAATGGCTTTTCCTCCAGCCCTCGCACTGTCTCGTGCGGTGTCCCTCAGGGCTCTGTCCTCGGTCCCCTCCTCTTCACCCTCTACATGCTCCCACTTGGTGACATCATCCGCAGACATGGGGTTAACTTCCACATGTATGCGGATGACACCCAACTCTACCTTTCCTCCTCTACTCTCAACTCCACAACCACCGATGTCCTGACAGCTGCCTGTCCGACATCGAGTCCTGGACGAGAGATAACTTTCTTCAGCTCAACGTGCGAAAAACCGAGGCCCTCCTGATTGGCTCACGTCAGCGCCTCCGCACCTCAGGCGCTGACAGCATCAGCATCCAAGGCTGCAGTCTCCACCTTTCAAAGCCGTCAGGAACCTCGGTGTTCTGTTCGACCCTGAGCTGTCCTTTCTCCCTCATATCTGCGCCACAACTGGCACCGCCTTCCA